GTTCGTCCTCTGCAGGATGTAGCCCTCGAGCAACGACCTCTACTCTTTGTTTTGTCAGCTGTCTTCCGTGTCCAGGTTGCACCCATCCTTTCTTTGATGTCGTCCTGACATCTTCTTTTTGGTCTTCCTCGGGATCTTTTTCCAGTTTTTGGTCTCCATTTCGTACACTTTTGTTTGACCTTCTGTTGTCCTTCATTCTGCCGATGTGGCCAGCCCATTTCCATCTTGTTGTAGTGTAAATTTGGGGATATCTGTCACTCCTGTTTTCTCTCGCGTGTTTTTGTGGGGTTTATTTGGTCTTGTATTCCTATGCCAATGATCTTCCTTTCCATTGCTCTTTCTGTAGAACTAGAAAAAACAAATTAGCAGCTAATGACACAGCATCCTAACATAAGTAAATGTAGTCACCACCCTCCCAAAAATATAAAAAAAATGAATATTAATACTCCATGATCTCTTATCCTTTCCCTAGAGGTGGCAGGGAACAGTGTGACGGTGGGCTGGTTGTATCAGGGCGTGCCTGTGATGGTGAGGGACATGCGTTCGCCCCTCGTTTGTTGTGTGGAATGGATCGACTACACAGTCTGATGCGTTGTGGACAGGTGGATATTGAGCTCTCGCCCTCTAAACGCGTGTATCCGCTACGTTTTTGGCTCTCGTTTCACGGTAGGTAAAGTACATGATATGATTTTAACGCCGCTTTTAACACTATAAGGTTCTTTATGAGATGGGAAGTCGGGTTTAGAAGGCATTTTGAACAGGACAGAGATAAGTGGATGGACATCTTATGGAGCCCCTTAAACAACATGAGATCAACAATACACCTTTTTAGATTTTAGCATAGGCAGCCTTCATCGTTGCTCACGATAATACAATCGTGATGCTGTTCATCTTGTTGAAAAACAAAAAAAATTCCCCTCCTTTAGTACACACGCGCAGAAACACATACACGCACACCCGCACACCCATTCACACACATATATGAACACATAAGTCTATGACAACATTTTAAACTACAAAAATCCAAAATAACTAAAGGAAAATGAGTCTCAAACAAATGGACCAAAAGATCAACATGGGAAAAACAAGTTTAAAAAAAATGTATACGAAGTAACCGAGGAAAAGAAAAAAAATATGGTTTTGACACAAACCAGGGAGCGAAGATGGGACACTTTGGAAGGAGATAAGGGTATTACTGTACGTTCACAACAGTGATAGACGCCCTTTGGGCATTACAAGTTGTGTACAGTGATGGACGTTTTAATTGTGGCAGAATACGAGAGAGGGCTGCCATTGCAACGATTTCTTCTATTGCCAAAAGTAATTACAGATGTCCTGCTGTCTACCTGCCCATAACCTAAACTACCCACTACAATCCTGGCAAGATGACTGTCTCCGGAGTTTGTACTTGGTCTAGATAAAGTTCTTTCATTTTTTAAGCATTGCATGTTTGACATAATACCCTCCGAACATTTATTCGGTTCAAACTGCACTTGTGAGCGATCTAATACTTATTTGACACACCTCTGCCTGTTTATATTTCGTCATTGCCCTCAAGGAACTGCCCTAATTTATACGGTACACCTACTTCCCACGCATAATATTAAAAGAGGGTGAGGCCTGGCTTTTCATGCTTCTCTGACGTAACGCAACTTTCAAGAGTTCATTCAGCACGGAAAGTCGGAACGACACGCATCAGGGTGTGACGAAATGAAAAAAAAGAAAGATCAAAATACATGTGTACAGATTAATTCTAACAACACTGCATTGAGACTAGGTTTATTAAAATTAGAATCCTTTTCAAAGTGTGTGCGCCGTAGACCAAAAGCAGGGCATTGCCGGTGGACGGGAAGAGTGCAGAAGTGTGCTCTTGCGACTGTTATTATGTTGGCAAGTGGTGTTTTCCTGAAGCTGTGCGGGGCCTCGCAAACTACGCTTCAACAGTTTGCTGTCATGGGAGGGTAAACGAACGCAAGGCACGGTCGGTCCTCCACTTCACGTCTGCAAACTCCAACGGTTAGTCTGACCGTTTGGGCGTTAAAAATCTCCCAGTTGCCTGCATAACAAATGTTGTTTTCCTCATTCTGTGACTTGAGTGCACGTTTCGAGTTTTGAGTCGAAAAGAGGCCTGTTATTGCGACGAACGCATTGTGATTTTAGACTGGGGAAGAAGATATTCAAACTGGAATCTTCATAGCTTTTTACAAGGCTGGATGTCTGAATAGTCAGGACATTTTTGAGGTAAGATGTTGCTCTCTCTCTCTCTCTCTCTCTCTCTCTCTCTCTCTCTCTCTCTCTCTCTCTCTCTCTCCCTTCTCTTCTCTTCTCTGACATTTCTCTTCTCTGTCTCTCTTCTTTTCTTCTATGTGTCTCAATAGCCTGATGTGTTGCCGAACAATGATCATTATGCTACTGAATCCATAGTTTTGCTGGACTTAAATTGCTGATGTCTTTGACCAAAAACACTATGTAGGCCTAATAAAAGTAAATAATAGTGCAGTTTACATTATGAACTATTGACTCTTTCACTGTTGGCAGAGAATTATTGTTTATCAGTTAATAAGGCAGGAAGTCTCTTTGTCTCTATCGTTCTCTCTCTCTCTCTCTCTCTCTCTCTCTCTCTCTCTCTCTCTCTCTTTCTTTCTCTGTCTCCCCTTCTCTCTCTCACCCCTTCTCTCTCTCCCTCTCTCTCTCTCTTTCCTTCCCCCTCTCTCTCTGTCTCTGTTCTTTCTTTCTCCCTTTCTCGCTCTCTTTCTTTCTTTACACCCCCCCCCCTCCCTCGCCCTCTCTGTCTCTCCCTCTTCCAGTCTCCCTTCTCCCTCTCTCTCCTTCTCCCCATCTCACTCATGTTTCTTTTTTTTCTCCGTGTATTTCTGCATGTGTGTTTGTTTTAATATTTAATAAAGAGAGAGAGAGAGAGAGATAGATAGATAGATATATATATATATATATATATATATATATATATATATATATGTGTGTGTGTGTGTGTGTGCGCGCGCGTGTGTGTGTGTATGTGTGTGTGTGTGTGTGTGTGTGTGTGTGTGTGTGTGTGTGTGTGTGTGTGTGTGTGTGTGTGTGTGTGTGTGTGTGTGTGATTGATGGTAGGATCATCCCCTCCGTGTGCTTCCTGTAAGTCGTGTTCCTACAGTACTCCTTGTCTCCACATTTCCAAAATGTGGCCACCATCGTGCTCATACACTTCAACCCACGACTTAACCTTGTACATTATCATTCTCCCTTTCAAGCTTGCAGGTCGTTGGCGGTTGCTCTGCTTTGGTTTGCTCCTTCTTTCCTATCCAAAAAAATCTAGAGCTGTCGTCCTTATCTCTCATCCTTCTTTTCTTTGTATGTTACTCACTATATAACACCCCATAGATCTTTGACATGTATATTATACTTATTTGCGTTGCAACTGCCGTAACACTCTTACTTAAAGTAAACTAACTCTCAAACATGAGTACATCAATGTGCGGGAACACGCATTTCGCACTGGACGTGCCTGCCATTCAGCTAGTTTGAGTACGTGTGCTTTTGATAGAGTTAGATGTGTGTCGTTCACTCTCCGCAGTCTCCGGCTTCTGGTTCTAAACACCTGAAATAGTCAATAGATGGAGGTGGTTCGCCTTGAAAGCCCAGTGTCTGACTACAGTCGAGTTCATTCGAAAATTTAGGACAAATTGACAGAGGGCTGCGCTATTATTGTAATGTAGGACAGTGTGTGTGGCTGGCCTTCCTCGCTCTGCAGGGTAAACGTTTGCGGTAAGCTTTCAGGAATGTGTTTCAGTGGCGTGCTCCTTTGTATTTCTCTTTGTATGCTTGACGGTTAACAGTGCAGGTCGTAGGAGGGCGCCCCAAGTAAATCACTTCTTCCCTCTGCCCCCTGTTGACGTCAATTAAAAAAAAATCTTTCTACTGTTTAAGTGAGATGGGGTATTAGAACCGATGCACTTTAACCATAACCCTTTTTTTTTAAAAAAGAAAGAAAGAAAAAGTCGGGATTTCCAGGCTGTATCGTAGACCTTTACCCCACATTGACTGATCATTATACGTCCTAGTGTGTACATGTTTTCTTTTCATCGAATTGATAATGTGAACCCCAAAATTTAGCCCCAAGACCTCTTTAGAAGAAAACTACAAGAACAAAATTCTAAAGTGGAAAGCAAAAACCACCTCTGCCCCTTCCCCCAAAAACGTATTTAAGGCTACTTTTAGTTGAGTTTTTATGGCTCTCGCAACTGCACAAGGTCATATGAGCGCCAAGGGGTGGATGTCAACAGAGAAGACTTACTCTTCTCACCTCTCTAGCCTCAACAGCACAAAGTCTGCTTCGACTATCAGTATCAGGGCACCCCGGACATAGCAGGTCACAAGAGAATGACAAACATACAAAAGAAGTAGAAGAAAATGACGATAGTAAAGATTAGGAAAAAAAGCAGCTCCCCGAATGCAGTTCAGGCACAGTTTTGAGCATGACATTGATGAATCAGCCCATTTACAATTCTACTGAGCTTAAGAACATGTTAATGTCCTCCCTTTGGGGATGACCTAAAGACACTTTAGTCAGTAGCACCGCTCCGGGGGTTTAAACGTGTTTAACAGAAGTACGGAACAGACCAAGCAAAAGAACAATCCAAAAGAAAAAAAGACCCAGACAATCTTCCACGTTTTGAATGTTTGATCCACACATTCTGGATTCGGGTGATAAGGGTAAAGGTTGGGGTGCGGGTTATGGTTAGACAGAAAATATGAATAAAATGTTCTAAGTTGGAAAATTACGAAAATTACGTCCATTCCTTTTGATTGGTACTAAGCAGCTAGCTACTTAGAAGTCGTTGAAACCTCCGCTCAAATTTTACAGAAGAAACGCGAAATCTGAAATATTATTGCAATTTCGTAGAAGGAAGAGAGCCTGGGAGTGAGGAGAGGATGTCTTGAAGAGTAGCTACAAACAAACAGGAGGAGCAGCCTGTTCGTAAGGTCTATGATTGAGAAAGGCACTATAGGCTGTTATCAGTTTAATCTCCCAACCACATCCCCTCGGCATCACACGCCAATCTTACCACAAACTTTTTTTTGGAAAAACCTCCCCAAAATGCAAAATACAAACAAAACAAAATAATTGAATGAGAAGAAAATGCAATCTCTCCCCAAATCTCTGTCCAGCTCAAAGGCAAGTAAATTTTAGTAAGTGAGTAAAGACCTACAAGAACGAATAAAATTGCGTTAATAAACTTTATATTAAGTACATAAATATATAAATAGATCTTTTTAAAAATTGATCAATTAACTAAATGAATGAATGAATATAAATAAATAAATATTAAATAAATAAATAAATAAATAAATAAATAAATAAATAAATAAATAAATAAATAAATAAATAAATGGATGCATGATCTGACTGAATAAACAAATAAGTTAATAAATTTAGAAAAATCGACAAATAAATTAATAAATGAAAAGTAAGACAAAGTGAGATTAAATTAACCCCCCCGACAAATTACATGTAATGAAAAGCATAAACTCATTGGTATGCCAATTGGTTCCCCCCCCCCCCCTTTCTCAGTGCATTCCAAGCAGGAGCCTCACAGCCTGAAGGCCTCGTTATTACCTTGTTCAGGATGGCTGTTCTCCATGGGAGATGGGAACAAACAAAAGGAAACCAGCTCTAGGCCAAAAGGTACACTCGTAACTTTTGTTTTCGGTACGATTCTTTTGTGACATCTCTAGGAAATTAATTAAGGATGTGCTGGAGATTGGATTGTTGAAACAGTTCTTGTATGAAAAAAACGTAATAAATGTATTTGCTTTCCTCGGGTTATTTCTTCTGTTGCTGTTGCTGTTATGGTGTATTATTTTTTTCTATTCCTGAGAGTTAGTATGTGTTTGTGACTATGACAGTCTAATTCTGTGTTCTAGGAAATTGAGACAAAAGAAAGCGTGTAGGAAGAACTGATTTTGAGTTTGTATGAGTCTAAAGGCATATAGGTTTGTGTGTGTGTGTGCATGTGTGTGTGTGTGTGTGTGTGTGTGTGTGTGTGTGTGTGTGTGTGTGTGTTTGTGTGTGTGTGTGTGTGTGTATGTGCACATGAGAGAAAGAGAAAGAAAAAATGGAGAGAGAGTGAGAGAGAGAGAGAGAGAGAGAAAAAGAGAGAAAAAGAGAAAGAGAGACAGACAGACAGAGGGAGAGATACTATTCTCTCCCACCTGTACCATCCAAATAATCACCTCCCCCGACCCCCATTCTCTCTCTTTCCTTTTTTGTTTGCCCCTCTCTCTCTCTTTCCCTCTCTTTCTCTCTCTCTCTCTCTCTCTCTCTCTCTCTCTCTCTCTCTCTCTCTCTCTCTCTCTCTCTCTCTCTCTCTCTTTTGTTAACTACATGTATTAAAAAAAATATGTTCCATCACCTTGATATATCTGTTCAACAACCCCTCTCTCTGTAACCAACTCGTAAATAGTCGCAATAAGTTGTTTTGCTGACAGCACGCTTGGACATTGTTTTTCCAGTCCAAAAGTACATGAACTAGACTGAGTTTTTATTTGTTTGTTTGTTGGGTTTTTTTTGTTTGCTTTGTTAGTCTCAGCTCAAGGGAACAGACTGCTGGAGGATTTTGTATGTTTAAGCTACACAATGTTAACTCGATGAGATCGAGGGTAAAGACAGTGTGGGCATAGCATTCTAAAGCCAAGGCCTCAGTTGTCAGTAAAAGAGGCTTTCTGGTACATAAAGTGTTAATACTGATGAGGTCGAGGGGGGAGACCGTGTGGCCTAGCATTCTTAAGCCAAGGCCTTTAGTTCTCCTCCAGCCCCAAGTCTTTTTCCCGGGCAGTGAAGCGTGAGAGAACCAATCCTCAGAACAGTGGTTGTTATGTCTGCACTCTGCTGTAGACCGCTTCAGACTGTAATACTGTTGAACGTGCACTAATTACCACCTGTTTAAAACTACCTGCTGCTTAATCGACCCTCTTCCCATTTGAGATATTTAAATAGTATCATAATGACACTGTCATAGAGGACCACCTTTTGGAGAAGACCACTTTTCTTTTAGACAGTGGATGATGGTCTTGGACAAGTTCAAATGTAGTTTACTTTTTCTATATTGCAGATACGACAGTTATGCCCGTCACGACTACGACGGAAGACACAAACATTCACTGTACGTTTTCATTGTACCAACATTACTGCATGCAATAAAAAATCATTTTTTCTCTATGCTTTTAAGAACAGTAATGTTGATAGCAAGAAGGAAACAGAATATTATGTTAGTTCCTCACACATACTTAACTCACCACTTCCCACATACTTACACAAATACACACCAACCTACATGCAACAACAATAATACACCAAAATCATCCCAATAATAGGCCGAACCGTCCTATACAAACAAAAGATCCTGGGTGTGCAAATGCACATGCACATAACATGCACAATACATACAATTAAACAAATTGATAAATACATGTAATTTGCATGCATATCTGTCTGTCACATGCAAACACATATCACACGTAATATGTAAAATCACACACACAAATACACACACACTCACGCAAGCACACACACACACTCATACACATGTACACACGCACATACACACACACACACACACACACACACACACACATACACTCTTAAATTCATAAATCATTGAAAAGATGCAAATAGTTAAGCCAACGGCTAAATTAGAGCTGAGAAATAAGGATAACAGAAGGAATGGTTTGAACTTTTTGTACTCGTAAAATGAGTAGAACAGAATCAACGTGAAGGGGGTAAGTAAGTATGTGCGCGAGATAGTAGTGAAGAGAATAAGTGAATACGCGAATGAGAGAATAAGTAAGTGTATAAGTGAGTGAATTAATGGTTGAAGGAATGAGTGTTTGAGTGAGTGAATAAATGATTGAACGATTAAATATATGAGTGATTTAACGGATTGGTAGGTTGGTTAGTAGTGAGTGGACGAGTGAGTGAGTGAGTGAGTGAATCAGTGAGTTGCGGAATGATTGAGAGAGAGAAAGAGCGAGAGAGTGAGAGAGAGAGAGAGACAGACAGAGAGACAGACAGAAAGACAGACAGACAGACAGACAGACAGACAGACAGACAGACAGACAGACAGACAGACAGACAGACAGACAGACAGACAGACAGACAGTTGCGGTTAAAGAGGCAGCATTAGTGAAAACTTGTGTGTGCATGCTCCTTTTTGCATTTGATTATGCTTAGTCTATACTCACTCTTTATGAATACAATACACATACGTGTATGCCTGTGTGTGTGAGTTTGTGTGTGTGTGTGAGAGAGAGAGAGAGAGAGAGAGAGAGAGAGAGAGAGAGAGAGAGAGAGAGAGAGAGAGAGTAAAAAAACAGTGAGAAGATCTGCTCTTATATACAAAGAGCAAAGAGCAGCAACCATCACCAAGAATAATTTATTATAGTTCAAATCTATGGTATCTATGGTATAGGGCCTCAGTCTGTGACCGACAGCGGAGTAATTGCTTTCACACTTGATAATAATTTGGGGGTAAACTCCATGCATGGCCGTATTGCGAAGGGCAAAGGCTCTGATCCGATTTCATATTTTCTCAGCAATTTGCTTCGACAGCTGGTCCGGTCATTCACACCAGCCTTTGTACAGCCCGAATTGAACGCCCGGTGAGTTATTGTCTTACCGTACTGATAATAATGGTGATAATACTGATAAAAAGGATAATAATAATAATAATGATGATGATGATAATAATAATAACGATGATAATGATGATGGTGATGATAATTATGATGATGATGATGATAGTAATAATAACAATCAATAACACAACAACAACGATAATTATAATAATAGTAATACTAATAATATTAATAATAACAATAAT